TTTATGGGTAATGTCACTATGAACTAATGACCGCTTTAATCGATCGCGAACTATTAAAACGTGATGTGGGAACCGTAAAAACCTTTGTAAACTATAATATTATATTTAACATGATATATTCATAAAATTTAATCTCGCCGAGGCCTTGTGGCTCTCTGTTCTCTCTGTCTGCTCCACAAGGAATAAGGCGTTAAAATGTAGATAGGTACAACTGTTTACATCTGATATTAGAAAACCTGGGCAATACCTACCGTATAGTGGATCAAAAAAAAACACACTCGTACTATATTGTTACGACAAACTGTGTACAAGTCCTGTCCCATTAAAATCATTTTCATAAGAAATGCTCTTACTAGGTTTTGTTAAAAGACAGCCGATTAGAGCGTATGCCACAAGGCAAACAACACGTACCATCAACGACAGGAATAGCTTCACAGATAGAACTCTATCAGATATGATTATGTTCCCGCCGTTGGAACATGCAGCCAATTTCGAATCGGATCAAAGGCATGTTCAGCTAAACAGCACATGAAACACGATTTGTCCCCGCATTGTCGCTATTCGAGAGCTAATCTTCAGAGTAAGCTAGTAGTGGGAAATAACAATGTTATCCTCATTATGGATAACTTAGTCTTAAGAGGGCGTCTAAACCCAAGTGAATCACTAATATCGAATTTACAAAGATACAAAGTTACATCACTAACAACATTCGATTCATTTTCGAATTAATGATATTATAAACATGTGAATATGTTAGTGGCCAAGAGTTTATAGAGGGCAATTTTACAATAATCGTATTTAGCTATGCAATTATCGGGAGTCCACAGTATTGAAGTTCTTAAATACCTCAATCTAGATCTAGCTATCGTATATAATTTCGTTTAACATAACAAAGAAAGAACCGATCCATCGGTTACATTACGTATATATAAATGTGAATAAAACAAGAAGCGAGCCGAGCGAGCGCCATATAGGTACCTAGAGCCACAGCGCATCTTTGATACCTTATAGATATGAAATATATGATGAGAGACTATTTGATTGTGAACTTTCTACAAAATGTTGGATCTATTTCTTAATTATTATATTTTCAACAATTTTTTTTAATGTCTTGTCTATGATGTATGAATGTAAAATGACTTTCTACGAAATGAAGTTAAATGCCATATGTAATTGCATTATGACATAAAAAGTGCTGCCACATGGAGTGGATGATAGATAACCTCTAACGTAACTATAATTGCTTGGCTAAATTAAGAATCAATAATAACTTATATGAACTATTTATTTGTACAAGTTCCGCGATGTGAAAAATAAATGCAATAAAACTACAAGAAATAGAAAAATATAGGATGCCTTTACCTTGAACAACCAATAAAACTTAATCAGTTATTTGACTGAATTTGTTATAAAACGAAAGGTTACTTTATCCTAGAGTTGCAACGAATAATATATTCGGTCATATGCCGAATACCGAATATTCGGCGAGGTTCTGGCCTAACAACCGAATATTAGGCATAAGTATTCGGCGCGTATGTGGCGCCAAAACTTGTATAAACGTGATTGTTTCCCGCTCATTTGTTGTAATGTACTCACCACCCTCTCAGTTCGAGCATATCGTAAATACGTGTACAGTTTACAGATCGCTCTGCGTTTTGATTTGTTTATAAGTGAAATTGTGACAGATGTAACAAATAAACAACAAAATAAAAACAATATTAAAATAATGTGTTACATTATTTCAAAATATCTTAAAAGAGAAACGGCTGAAAAAAAGAGAAACAATACCAAAAAGTTTTATCTTTAAAAAATCGAAACAATAAGTGGATAATTATGTCAACCATGTCATGTCATTAGTAAGAAGTAAAACAGCACTATCAGAAAATCTATTTTTCTCTTAACATTATCTTAAAAAATTGTTAGTGTGTCCGCTTTTTGTGTTTCGATTTGTTTGAAGATTAAAATGTGTGGTATTATTTCTCTCTTTTTAGTCGTTTCTCTTTATTACGATTGTTTGAAGTCGATTTATCTTTTTTTATTGTTCTTTATTTCTTCCTTTTAATACAGACTTCAAAAAAAGGAGGCTGTCAATTCGATGTGTATGTGTGTAATTTCGTTGGTGCGGCGTAATATTCATGTGTTGATCTGTATAGGGTTCTAAACACGTGTGCAAAATTTTATAGACGTCTGTATGTATGTCTGTATGTGATGCGAGTGACCCGCGAAATATCGTATGTAAACCGTGCGAAATATAAATTTCTCGTGGTGACATTGGAAAGAAAGCTACTACATCAGGGATGCTTAGTCATATGAATAATCTAAATCTTCTAAACTTTGATAACAACATATCAGACGCATAAAAACATCATTATATTCTGTTATACAGAAGATGATTATGTACTAATCCGTTCTAATGACTTTCATGATTCTAAGAAATATGTAAATAATATAATTATAAAATTAATCAATAATTTCTCTTATTTTACCAATTATCTCATTACAATAAAATATATTAGATACTTAAATATTCGGCTCAAAAGCAGCCGAATACCGAATACTAACTGAATATTCTTTACAAGTCTACTTTATTACCTTTCCAACAGTATTAGATTCAAAGGTTTGTCACATAATAAATAACAGATTGGGCTATATGTTTACGAAACCGAATCTCTTAATAATTATTTACTATTCTCGACATATCTTAATAATATTCTAAATAAAAAATGCTTGAAAATTCCACTAACACCAGCAAGGTACTCTTTGAACCCACGACCTTATTTTCTGTATATTTTCAACAATGATAAGGCAGTGGTTAGATTAATGCTCGTAAGCTTTCTTCGTTGAAATTGTTTAATACTAGAAATAAAATAAAAAGTATTCGTCATATTAAATAATTTTAGCTGAATTCAGTGCTTCTTCAAGTGCTGCCAGTGCTAAGAGAGATGTCAGTAGTTGGTATGTAGGTATACGTCATGCTTGATCCTGCATCCAATTAACGGGCCGAGTTCTCGTCATTATTACTCATTCATCGCAATCGGAAATCGTATTTTGTGCACGATGCAATTGCTCGGCGCATTCGCAACGTGGAATATTTAGTTTAAAAGTGTTTTCCCATATAGTATACATAAACTTGTAATAAAATCTTACAACCATTTGTATCTGACTGGATTCGGTATCATTAAAAATTTTACATTTTAATGAAGATAACTCTGAATTCGAATTAGGAAATGTGTGATTTTCATTTGTTTTTCTTACTGTCAAAATGAGTGAATCATATGAAGACATTTTAAATTTTTATTACGAAATTTTTTTTAAAAATGGCATCCATAAAAATGCAGCGCAAGGCTCGAAACAAAATTTGTGACGTTTAAGGACCCGGTCAAATTTCTGTGAGTGGCACAAACTTGGTTTAAGCGTTTCAGTCCGGAAATTTTGATGTCAAAGATGCACGTCGCTCCGGTCCTCCTGTTACGTAACCATAACATCCAAAAATGGATGCCATTTTTGAAAAATTGGCGCACGATCGGCATGTCTGTACTTACGAAGTATTTGCAGAACTGGGGATTGACCACAAAATAATTCTGGGGCATTTCATTTTAAAAAGCTGGGCACACAAATAGTTGAATATTTGGGTACCTCACGAGCTGACTGAAAGAAACCTAATGAACCGTTTACTCATTTATGAGTCTTCATTACGGCGTAATGAAACCGAACTATTTTTGAAGAAACTGTTAACTGGCGATGAAAAGTGGATCACGTACGACAAGAACGTGCTAAAAAAGTCGTGGTCTAAGGTCGGTCAGGCTTCACAGACTGTGGCTAAACCTGGGTTAACTTTCAACGAGGTAATGCTGAGTGTATATGGAGAGATTGGAAGGGCATTATTCATTATGAGCTATTACCGCCAGACAGGACCATCGATTCTGAACTCTACGACTGATGAGATTAAAGCGGCCAAAATTAATCAATAGAAAAGGTGCGGTTTTTCACCATGATAACGCTGGACCTTACACATATTTTGCCATTAAACAAAAATTAAGAGAATTTGGTTGGGAGGTTTTAAAGCATCCACCGTATAGTCCTGAACTTGCACCTTCAGATTTCCACTGTTTCGGTCTCTTCAGAGTTCTTAAGGCAGTGTCAGGTTAACATCACGTGAGGACTGCCAAAACCACTTGTCGCGGTTCTTTGATCAGAAGCCCCAAAATTACTATGACATTGGGCCTACCCACAAGAAGGTAAACAGTTATCGATCAAAATGGTACCTACATACTTTAGTAAATAAACTTTATTAAAATATGTTTTGAATTTTCATATAAAATAAAAATAAAAATAATTTATTTCCAAAGACATTATATTCTAACGATTACTTTGATCTACGCTCTAGGCTATGCCTGAATACAAGGTACCTTGTAATATGTAAAAATATGCATGACTTGTTGAATGTTTTTTATATTACTCTTTGTTTAATTTACTTAAACTTAATTAATATATTTCCAAAAAAAAAATACATTTGCGATGAAACTTTTTCTCCAACCCATTATGTTACAGTAAAATTTTATTGATTGATAGGGGTATACCATGATCAGATCACTTATACATGACAGAATATTATTTTACATTTAATTTGTGAGAAATAACATACCGTTTTTTTTTTAATAAAGGAGCTTTGATTAACAAGTGGAGAACAAAGAACGCTCGGGCAACTGTGTTGTAGAATGCAAAAGACAACAATACAAGATGAATATCGGTGAAAGTCTGTGTCATTTCTTCGACTACTGCTTTACATTACGGTGTGACTCTATGAAAGAATGGCATACAATCTTTTTAATGAGACCGAGGTGAATTATCCCAAGAATCTCCCAATAACTTCGGAATTATTGTCTATACTCGTATTTTTATTATTCTATCATATTTCCTCTGATTACTTGTGTTACGTTGTAACTGTTTCCATATTTTATGTTTGGTAACGGTCCGTATAACAATAACTTTATATATAGGTGCGTGCACATACCTGCCGTTCTGTGGTCCGACGTTTCCGTCGTTGAAGGAGGAGCTGGCGCTTAGGTCCTTGTCCGGTATCTGTCCGCTCTCCATGCCGAGCGGCGCGATGCATTGCGCTGCAACACATCAAGCGTCAGTCTCGCACATTAATACATGTCAGGTACTAAGTATAAGGTCGTAGGAATGATATACAAACACTGTAAGTGCTGTCAATAAACAAGGTTTAGCGTCAGAGTAAATATACGCTAAAATTATTAGTCCAAATTAATATTATATAGAGAATAAGCAAACCTACTACTCTCTAGAAGTAAATAATATTCCCGTAGAACCTCGTATTAGGTTAACCTTTGCTAAGTCTATGTTTAAAAATATGAATTTTCATTAATACTAAGTGCATTATCAGCGTACATTTACTCCAACGCTAAACCTTGTTTATTAATAACTGTGTAAGTACGGCAGACTTTTTTCTCTTTAAAGTTTAAAATTCTAAAATTTTCTTGAATACATCATAGTTTCTCACTTTTCCCATCAAATATTGTGTGATGTTTAGCGGGAAATAAATAAAGACGATTTAATATAAGCGAACATAAATTCAATGGACTAGTCTCTGCGCTTCAATTTTTAATCACGTGTATTCGAAGAATGAAACAACAAAGATAACAAAATATCAGCTATTCTTATTAATTTTCGTCCGTCGAGTAAGTCGTCAAGTTTGCGGGCTTCGAAAGCTTTCGTAAACCACCTCGCATAGGGCTGCCAGTGAAAAAAAGTATTATTTCTAATAGCAACCATTCGATTCCAAACAAAATAACATCCACCTTTAACCTGCCAAGCTTAGTGTAACTTTGCTCGGTGCTAATTTTTTTAATTGAAATCAATTGAGGGTTGCATATTTTTGAATTAAATTTATTGTCGTTTACAACTTCGCGGATTAAAAATATAAAAATCACAATTGAGAACCCTAGCGGCATCCATAGGCAGTGACTCACTCGGCCGAAGCCCATTGCGGCGAAACCGAAAACGAGGGACGCCATCACAAAGTACCTACTCGGTACTTCGCAAATCTTTACTAATAACAAACGAGAACGAGACACTTTTTATTACAACAAAAAGTAGAGTGGGTGAGGGGAGAAGAGACACATCCGTAATCAGTCACACCGATGACTTTATTTAATTAAACTTTTAATGTGAACTAATCATCTATGCATAATATGACGGTATATTTGTAGACGGCCAACATAGCGCTGATAACCGGGACGTATTGCCCATATCTCACACGTTACATATCGTTGTCGCCACATTATCAATGCGACTGTTATGAAACACTTTATTGACATTTATCTTAGGTTCATACACATTATAATATAGGTCGGGCGAACACTCGTATGAGTTAGTTGCATCTGTGGTACATATATAACATAAATAAAGCAAAACAAATGGAATCGATTGCGGCAGTGCTTAGAGCGTTTGTTGTGCTACGAGGGTCAAACTGAAAGTTCTTAGAACTGGCCACTTATAAACAATATAATAAAAAAATAATTCTAAAATTTGAAAATATAACTCTTTGCCAATATTACTGAGTATATATTTCATTCATTTGTCATTTGTTTTACGATTTGGCGGCAAATTGAAAATTGTCTGTGTCACGTCATCATGAATTTAACACGAGAAAATTTTCGTGCAATGATTTTTTATGACTTTCGATGTCATTTAAGTCAACAAGAAAGTTATGATAGACTACGATTGGCCTTTCACGATGAAGCCCCATCTCGTGCGACTGTTTACAACTGGTTTAATGAGTTTAAACGTGGTCGCACTAATCTCACTGATGATTTACGTGAGGGACGGCCTTCTACGGCGACGACTGAAGATAACATCTGTGTTGTGCGGCGTATGATAGAGACTGACAAAAGAGTGACCTATCAACAGATTCGGACAAGCTTAGGCATCGGTATGAGTCAAGTGCACAAAATCCTCCACGAACATTTAGCGGTCAGGAAGCTTTGCGCCCGGTGGATACCTCATAATTTGACTGAGGCTTAAAAACTCCATCGTGTGGATTGGTGTCGTAAAATGATTGAAAGATTTAACGGAGGTGACTCAAATGCTGTGTTCGACATACTAACAGGTGACGAAAGCTGGATTTACTGTTATGATCCTAAAACCAAAAGACAATCTGCTCAGTGGGTGTTTCCTTTCGAGGAGTTGCCAACTAAAGTGAAGAGAGATCGAAGTGCGGGAAAAAAAATGGTGGCCTCGTTCTTTGGAAGGATAGGTCATTTTGCAACAATTGTGTTAGAGGATCAAAAAACAGTTTCTGCAGAATGGTACACTACCAATTGTTTGCCACTTGTCTTGGAAAAAGTTCGAGAGAAACGACCTCGCAGTAGGATCCTCCTTCACCACGACAACGCCTCGTCGCACACCGCCAAGCGAACGATCGACTATTTGGCGACATCAAATGTTGAATTACTGGGTCACCCGCCGTATAGCCCCGACCTCGCGCCTTGTGATTTTTATTTATTTCCAAAAATTAAAGAAAAACTTAAAGGAAAGCGGTTTATGAATGCTGAAGAAGCGGTGGCTGCGTATCGCGATGCCATTGAAGAGACCCCTAAGGACGAGTGGGCAAAGTGCTTTTCCCAGTGGTTCCATCGCATGCAGCGGTGTATTGACGTGAATGGACAATATTTTGAAAAGATATAATAAAACTAATAACTGGCTAATGTAATCAGTTTTTGATTTTCTAAGAACTTTCAGTTTGACCCTCGTATCATGAGGATTAACAAATTTCGCAAGGGCTGTTCCATAGGATGAGTGATCAAAAATATATAATTTCTAGCTCTTTCATGCTTCATCAGTGGTCTTTGCGGTATTTAACAGCCACGAATGTGCACAGGGCCCGTGCGCCAGATGATTCGACGACCACGTACGAGGTCCTGTGTCACACTGTGGAGACATTGACAATGACGACTATAGTGCTTGTCTCTGTACATGATAAACTAAAAACTATCAAACTTTCATGCTGTTTTATGATTTAATAAGATACATATTGACTGACGAAGCTGGAGTATGACGTGACGATGATTGTCGACAATGGCGGAAAACTTATGACGACCGGGACAAAGTTATTGGAGAAACACGTCAATACTACAGTTCATACATGATGAATAATCAATCGACGAACGTGTACCCATTGCCAACATTGCGGTCCCACTTCCCCCGCCAATATGTACCTAAAATTGTATTTCTTTAGAAATTCAGCGACGGCGAACTGTGCCTGATCTACCTAAAATATGATATTAATAACCTCCGATTAGTTCCGGGCCCCGGGTACGATAAAATCTAATCAATGTTAAAAAAAGAACTGCCTCCTTTAAGTCAAATTGTTTCTATAACACAAATGCCTTATAGATAAATAAATATACAAAATTTGTTTCTTCATGTAACGATTATTTTTATTATCATATGCGATATCAATCTTTTATAAACTCAATCCTTATCAACAAAAATAGGTAAAACAAAATGTTCGCTCGTTCACTACTCTACTCATTTAATGAGACTGTTTTATTTGTTTTTTTTTTATAACACCAAGGAGGGCAGCCCGCACTCCGCCTACAACGTGGCCGTCAATCGTCAAGTATGTATGTTTGTTACATTAAAATTACATTAAACGATACTAATGAATTCGCATCGACTAGCCCGACGTCAGCTCATTATACATGTACATTGAACAAAAAGAGCATCACATAGGTACATCTATACACTGTATAAAACAAAGTAAAAAGCTCCTCGCTGTCTGTACGCTGAGATCTTTCCACCTACACAATGGATTTAAGTATTGTTTTTAACAATATACAGAGTGATCCAAGTATTGAATAAATAAATATTAAGACAACATCACACACATCGATCCGATACCAATTTAAGTAACAATAGCACTTATACCATGGAAATGAATCGTTGTTTCAAATAACAACGTTAACCACAATACCCAGACCAGAGACAATACCTACAGAAGAGTTATTTTTTACATTGATCCGACCGGGACTCGGAGCGGGGGTGCCGGCACCTCTAATCCTCCGTACTAATAACAATTTGGACACGGAGATCAAAATCAAATCGAAGAACTTTTGTCGTGTAGGTCAAATGTCTAATTATAAATTTTATTAAATAAAAAATATACTCGAACGATACCTTTTAAAGCTGCTCCAAAAAACCACTTCAATAATCAACGGATATTTAACTTGAAACGAACTTAACAAATTCAAGAAACTTTAAGAAGTTTAATAAGTGAAACCGTCCGTAGAGCTTCTTCTTGAACTTTAGTTTCGTAATTCATTAATTTTAACTGCTCGACTTCAAAAGACTAGCTTCTTATATTCATCTCTATTGGAAAATATTATTTAGTTTTTAAGGCTTATAAACTGTTTCTATAGTAAAATATTTCCATATATTATATTACAAGTAAACAAACAATTTACTAAATAATGAAATATAGTTAAATAAATAATAAAAAAGTATATAATTTATTGGCGATTGCAAAATAACTATCACAATAAAATAAACCAAGTTATTGCGGAAAGCATAAAAAAAAAATTAAAGAAAAATTAATAAAATCTCATCCAGATAGATGGTTTCTTCACAATCATCATTAAAGTACAGCACAGCGCAGCGCGCACACAATAGCTCATTATCGATTATGCACCCTAAACGGCTCGAGATACCGATCACAGTCGCATCGGCACATTGATACGTTCGCATAGCATCACAGATATCGCACGCCGCGCTATTGGAACCAACAGACGCGTTTAGTATACCAAACAGTATCGCCCCGGATATCAATTAATAAAGCTTCCACCGCACACAACACAACCGCCGGTGTCAATGAATGTGACAGCCGATTGGAAACAGCGCATTCGATGTCCAATATATGAAGCAAACGCAGGGCTGGTACACGTTAGCAATTTCACTGTAAGTATTTGTAAATGAAGCATATTTTCATTTATTCGGAACCAACACTATCCTATTTATTTTGCGTAAGTCGTTATGGCGAAAAAAGTGTAATAATATAGAGTGTAATGCTATCATATAATTGGGACAAACAAAAGTATGCCACGTCATATTTTGTATTAAGATTTTATGCTCACAGATAAATAAACGAAAGATAAATAAATATTAATAAGTGCTTTACCGTTAGTCGGTGTGTGCAAGCAACAAAACGTCTCGTTGCATGACAGTGAAAGAAATAGATAAACTGGAGATTATATTAAGCATCAGTATTGAACGTATTAATCTTAGAGTTATCTATCACAATCACACAGCAGCAAGTTACAATTTACTGTTAAAATCAACGGTCACTTTAAGTGAACAGAAGTGCACAGATAAAGGTCCCCCCCCCTTTCTAAGCGTCACCTCTTTATTATCGGTTATCTTCGTTGGATAGTCGTAAACATTCAGTCACAATACTTAAAACCCTAAATGCACAGAGGCACCGGTAAGCGAACACACAAAAAAAAAATCACCGAATCCATGGGAAAATTCTCCAAGACTAGATAGTATCATATACTATTCATACTCTCTGTTATAACAACAGCCTGAACAATCAGAAGACATTCTTACATTTTTACACTGCAGTTCTACCTCGCTCAATCGTTAATCATCTTAAAACTTTATTCACGCTATTGGAAAACCTTAAAAAAATAATAATTATTATAAGTAATAAAGAAAAAATTATATTGTACAATTTCCCTTATACGAGTTCTTTGTTTTTTCAGAAAAAAAAAAACATTTCCACGGGTAATTTCATCTCGAGGTAAAAGTTTTCTGAAACGAAACATCCAAATAAAAAGCCCATTGTGGCGGTGTCCCGTTCAACAAAAGACAGCCGCTTATAGGTCAAATGCAAATAGAATTCGCATGTTGCGCCGCCATCCGCCAGGCGGCGCGCCGGGCCACCACCGCCGCACGCCGCCGCCGGGCCGCCGCTGCGGGCCGATCGCTCCGGAACAAATTGCAAACGTCATGAAGGCAGTTTTGAATATTAATAATAAATGAACAACAAATGATCAGAATGGCTTCGGGCGACTCGCAACATGTGCGTGCGGGGGGAGAGGGGGTGTCAGAAGCGCTGAGCTTGTGCGTGCCTTTACACTAGCGTGACATGCAGTCGTCTAATGAATAATAAACAGCGCACTGGTGACTCGCTACTCATTCATATCCATCCACGGAAAGCAATATTCTTTTGTAACATAAAACGATCGAATGTCAGATTGCCGCGTGCGATATCGGCTATGCCTTTTGTATATATTCGGTAGGCGCGCGGCGGCCGACCGACGTTCTAAACAGCGCCTTAGCGCTTTAGGGCTAGCGCAATTTTAGAACAATCAATCAATCACTCCCTTTATTTTGTTTTGAGCCGTCGCGGAAAAAATAACGGTGGGTTTTTTTTTTATATTATCAAAATAGGTAATTTAGTGAAAATGGGCGACATATTTTCTTGTTCATATTCGAAGTTCAATTTCAATCTTAAATAGAAAGTTTGAATTAATTTGTACTAAAGTAAGGGTAATATAATAAAACGACATGTTTTACTTTTGTTTTTACTATCACTGCAGTATATTTACATTAACTTAAAAACTTCTGAAGGGATTTTCATGCGATTCTCACAGACTGGTAATATATTAGAGAGGTTTACCCACTGACACTTAATGACTGGGAGCTTACTCACTAGTTAAGAACATGCAATAAAGCTACGGATACTTTGTCGCCTTTTTATGAGTCCAGTATACTCGTAGACGTTTCAGTGTAACGTTGTATACATTTACCGAGACAGGGTTAGTCCGGCCCGTGGTCGCGACAGTATCGCGGGGTCTTTACCTCGCACGACATCACAAAAAAAAAACACTTCGCGTGATGTTGCCGCCGGGACTATTATTTTAATTACTTTCATTGTACACGATGGGAGGTGAGGAGGGTGGGAGGGGGGTTGATCGTTAACGTAGCCTTTTTCCAGGCCCAATAGTTTCCAGGACGAATGTGCAGCGACGTGTATTCGGCACACACGACAGCATGGCCGGGGCACGCGCACAATGCCCGCCAGTAATGACACTACACGGGAGCGCTAGCGATACGGCGGATAATTACAATCCGACACCGCCGCCGGCTACATTATGGAAACATGCAGTACACGTCCATACTTCAAACATGATGATCGCCCACAATGTATGGTTTCTCTTTTAGTTTTATAGATATCGGTTATTTACATTAATTTGTACAATAACTTTCTGTTTTTGTCGTCTCGCTCAAGTATGCGCATAAAGGCAAAGAAGAAAAACGAGACGAAATCAACACAACAGCAGAACATAGCGTATTTTTAGGAGCAATCCGCTGACGCTGTCCAATCCAATTCATTGCGCGTTTAACCATTACCGCCAGCCATAAGCCAAAGCGACACACTTCTTATCGAATCTTCGATCGGTGATTGATTACTAATTATTCTATCGTTTTCGTTTCGATGGGAACATTTTATTTTATCGATTAGTAAATGTCGGTAAAATGTTGCCGGCGCGCTATAATTTCACTTTGGTGTTTCATTTATTGATCGATTACATTATACAGGTTTACAAAACTTCAGCAGCCTGTGAATGCAGAGTGCAATGCGAGTACCTGATTGGACACATACCAAAATATAGTGGTAGAGTACAACAATGCACGGTACCCTGGCGGAATTAAGGAGTAGCTCTTATTCCTTCATAAACTAACTGTGACCTGGATACAACATCTTAACGATACTATTACAATATTTAATTTAATTTTACTACTTTGACACGTCTTTTGGTGAACAAATTTGTTATAAATGAGTACGTCGGTAACGCTGCTGTTAGGTCCATTAATAATTCATTATCATTATTCACCATTATTGTACATTCTTCTTTATTAAGTTTGTGTCAAAATAGTAAAATAAATTGAAATATCGCCATACCGTCGCTAACATAAGGTTGGGAAAAAGTCTTTTCGCACATAGTATGCATAAACTTGTAATAAAATCTTTCTGGTTATATCATTTGTATCTGGCTGGTTTTGGTATTATTAAAAACATTTCATTTAAAAAAAATGTGTTATTTTCATTCGTATTTCTTACTGTTAATATGAGTGAATATAATAATGACAAATTCTATACATTTAAAAATTCAATTACGAAAAAGTTACAAATGCAACGCAAGGCGCGAAACAAAATTTATGGACCTCTGTGCACTTTCTGTGAGAGTAGCACAAAATTGGTGTAAACGTTTTCAGTCTGGAAATTTTGATGTCAAAAGATGCACGTCGCTCCGATCGCCATGTTACAAATGAAATGGATGCCACTTTTGAAAAATGGAGCAGGATCTGCATATCAGGAGAACTGAGGATTGGCCACAAACAGTTTTGAGGCATTTGAAAAAAGCTATGTACACAAAAGTTCAATATTTGGGTACTTCACGAGCTCACTGAAAGATATCTAATGATTCATGTGTATTCGATTCGTTTGTGATTCTTTATAACGGCCTTATGAAACTGAACCATTTTTGCGGTTCTTTGATCAGAAGCCCCAAAATTTAGATAGCAACCAACATGTCCTGTCCCTACCAACAAGATGGCAAACAGTTATCGAACAAAATGGTACCTACATTATTTAGTTAAACATAAATAAACTTTATTAAAAAATGTTTTGAATTTTCATATAAAGTGCGAAGAAACTTTTTCCCCAACCTATTATGTCGTATCATATGTCTAGAGGGTTAGGCAGAATATATAAGTACTATTCATATACCCGAAATATTATATTTATTATTTGAAATATTAGCAATAACAATAAATAACATTGCTTACAACAAGTTGTGCCATTTTATCGATCGACTAAAACACTACTAAGCACACTGACTAGCTGATGGATTGACATAAACATAAGAGAGCCTTATCATTCACATAAAAATTTTTATACTATAATAACCAAGACCAAGACGTTACATAAACGATCATTGAAGTCAGACAAGTGTCTATTCCAAACAAAAATACACTGAACGGATGTAAGGTATCTATCTCGAAGCATTCGGATGGTGTCGACCACTCGTACACTGTTTAATTTTGTTTGACATAGGAAATTCTTTTAGTTTGATTCGCAAAACTGCTGTGAGTGGTGGTTCGTCGAATAGTGCGCTCTGCAGAATAGTGATGATAAATATTAAAAAAAAAAATCCAAATCAACATTTAATATTGCCATTATATATATATATATATATAATTTTTTTGGCGACTTGAACTATTCGTTTTTGTTTTCTTTTAAATACTTTTAATGGTGCTTATAACATTCGCGGGCAAACTGTCCCTCAGTTTCGATTACGTCACACCGATCAGTTATTTTTATATTAAGTTCGTTTCTACTGGCTGTTTCACATTACACACAACTAATTCAAAAAATTCAATTAGTTTGAACTACGGAAAAAATATTTGTACGAATAAATAACGTAGCAATTAGGGATACGCAAAAAAGTATCGATACCCTGAGGTATCTCTTCTATATTTGTTTCGATGCCAAGTACTTTTGAAATCGATACTTTTATTTCGAAACTTATGAGATATCAATCCTTTATGAGGTAATTATCAGTCTAAGAAAAATAATAAAAATAAATCAATATTTTAAATAAAATGTACACTCCAACACAACTCTAGTAGGGATGATCTATATTAATCATGTATCAAAAAATGCACGAACAAGACCCGATTGCTTATAATTATAATGTATACAAATCGTGTGAGTTTAAAAATATTATATATTAATCATTGTTTAATGAACATCGCTATTTAGCTGAAAACCATCGATGTTTTAACTTTGATAACATCGACATACCGATGTTTTGATAATATATAAATATCAGAAGGTTACTCAATATACTGTTTTATTATAAAAAGATACATGTCATATTTTTTTGATCTAGAGCTGATACAAAAAATTTTGTCACAGATTTGTCATTGGAAATTGGCCTAATATATCAAAATGTAGAACTCGGTCATCAGAAATGCTGTTGTATGGTGATTGTTTTTTTATTTGTGAAACTAATTTCTAATGTAAACGTCGCGTCGTAGAAAAATAAGACACATCTGTTAATGTATGATTGTACTGATTTATTATTTAAAGTAAGCAACACAGACACTGCATTCTTTTTTTTTATTGCATTAAAAAGTACTCGATACCTCCAGCACGCGTAGCATGACGAACTCAAGAATGATTTGGCTACACCCAAGCGTCACTTTCTCGGGTCGAGAGTGAGATGTTGTATAAGCGCACCCGAGAAAAGTGACATTAGTAGACAAAGCGTTTCTCGTGTTTGCGTTTGCCGTAGACCTGCGAAAACTGGAAAGAAGATCACTAATCTTCAATACGCCGATAAAACCACCCTTTTCACAAACAACGAAACTGAAATGGTCATTTTGCTGGATGGAATAGAGGGCATCAGTGGTGAACGAAGACTATCGATCAGAGCTAAGGCAAACATCATAAACATCAATCTTGACTCCGTCAACGCCTACATATACCTGGGCTCTATGGGCTTGTTTCCGACAGTGGATCGTGTGAGGCAGACAACAGAAGGCGTATTGGAGTGGCAAAGAGCGCCATGTCACAGCTACACCGCATTCTGGCAAATAATATCTTACGCAAAGTTTAACAAAAACTTGTGACGAGTCTGGTAATCTCCATATTTCTGTACGGCGCGGAAACCCTGGAAAATAGTGATCGCACCTATACCGACGCATTCGAGATGTGGTGCTGGAGACGGATGTTGCGCATTTAATGGACAGCACATCCAACGCATTGATCCTCGAGGAACTAAACGTCAAGAGCAAGCTTTCCACTACATGTCTCTGCAGAATATTTAAGTTCTTCGCTAAAAGAACCTTGAAAAGTTGAAAATTCGCTCCGCACTCGATTCCATTATTACCGAAGACAGATCCAGTGGCGGAATATAATCCAAAAAAAGATCACGACCCTTAGTATTGACGATATCGACGCAAGGAGG